ACGAGTCTCCCTTAGCCCGTAACTGGAATGCTCCTAGGGTTTATTGGCTACCGCACGGAGCAGTACAACCTCAACCCATCCCATATAACAAACACATAACATAACTATTGAGCATGCAATAATCATATAACATCACAGGAAGTCCTACAGATCTACCTAACTAGCATAACCACTAGCATGCAACACTAACTCATACTCAACATCTAACACCGCTAGGATAACATATCCAATGGGCCGGCTTTGGTGCCTTAGACCCCTTAGTATAGTGAGGATAACTCACCTTGCGACTGTCGACTGAAATTAGAAGACTCAACTCCCGGATCACCAACACGAACTCCACCACCTATAGGCACCATAAAACCCCTTTTTCATAAATCTCCGAAATACCAGAATACCCTCAGAAGTCAACTGGTCAACCCTTGGTCCAAGTCAAAGTCCACAGTCAAAGTCAACAGTCCATGTTGACTCGACTCGTCGAGTGCAGTTCTCCGACTCGTCGAGTCCTTCCTGAACTCGAGAAGTCGTGAAATCCTCGATTGGCTCGTCGAGTTCCCCTTTAACTCGCCGAGTTTATACGTGTCCAAGAATTGGGAGAAACCCTAGCCGACTCGCCGAGTCTTCGAATGACTCGCCGAGTTCAAGGCAATCTTCAACGGACTCGCCGAGTTGTTCATCCAACTCGTCGAGTTCATGGCCATCTTCAACGGGCTCGCCGAGTTGTTCATCCAACTCGTCGAGTTCATGGCCATCTTCAACGGGCTCGCCGAGTTGTTCCTCCAACTCGTCGAGTCCTTGCAGACTTTCATCCATGCAGACGCTTTTTAAGCCATGACAAGGTTCCAGATTACAGATCCAGGCTTCTAAGGCATGTTTATCACGTAAAGTTGCCAACTTTACGCACATGCAAGGCTCTAAAGGCCCTAAATGACCAATCTAAGCTTCCAATGGAGCTTTGCACCTTGGGAGAGTCTCATTCTTGCACCAGCTGGAAACTTTATGGACTAAGAAGCCTAAGGGAGCTCAGTTATGGAGTTACAACTTCAGATCTTAGCTTGCACACAAGAAAAGCTTCCAAACATAACATGAAAACCCTAGGATTGTCCAAAGAAGGGATCTAGAATGAAATGAGATCAGGGTAACGATTATACCTTCCAGAAGATGCCCAAAAAGGTGGATTTCGGATCCCACAAGCTCCTTGCTTCTGAATACTTGCTCTTCCAAGCTCCTTCCTCCACAAAATCCTCTTCCAAGCTCAAAACACGCAAATGGAACACACACACTCGATTAGGGTTTGAAGGGGGGACAGGAAGCAATAAAGGGGAGGCTGGGGGAGGCCAATGATCCTTTAAATAGGGTGCAAAACCCCGAGATTTAGGGTTTCATCTGTCAGCTCCTACTCGTCGAGTCCCTTATTAGACTCGGCGAGTAGGTCATTAAGATACGCGGACCAACCCGCTGCTACTCGACGAGTAGGGCAATCAACTCGTCGAGTAGCCCTTGAAATCAAGAAATACACATTAAATCAATACCTGAGAAACGGGGCGTTACTATATATATATATATATATATATATATATATATATATATATATATATATATATATATTATATATATATATATATTTGAACGACTATGTTAGTATTTGCATGAGATTGAACCCATGACCTCCTGGTTAGAAACTCTTAGTTAGACACCTCGTTAGTCAAATGACCATGTTAATATATGCTTCTATAAATGTAAAAATGCATATTTATACTTTTAAAATGACTAAATTGCACGAATGGTCCCTATGGTTAGCTTAAAATTGCCACTTTGTTCCAAAAAAATTTGGACTTGCACCAGAGGTCCAAAGTTTTCATTTTGTTGCAAGTTTGGTCTAATTTGGTTTGAACTTTTTTATAAAGACGATTTTGCCCCTTATTATTTAATTTCTCATTTTTACTTTATTACAACAATTAAAAATAAAATCTCTCTCTACAATACCCATTTTGGCATCTTGCACTTGAAAATAATTTAACACAGAAAAAACACCACCACCACCACTACCGGTTGCTTCTACCCTCGACCACCTGCCATTCTCACCGAAAAACATGGCCCGCCACCATGTCATTCTCACCGGAAACTCTGCCGGCTATCTTTTCAGCCAGATAGAAACAAATCGGGGTTACATCGTCTTCCTTGTTCTTCATACAAACAATAACCAACGTCTCTAGAGCTCCAGCTCCCCACCGCCACAATCGTTCTTCTTCTCTGACTAAATTAGGGTTTCGCCACCGCCTAGCTTCGTGAAAACCCTAGTCGGATCTATCTCACTTACAGTCTTCGTGAAAACCCTACATAGATCTACGACCCTTGTGTTACAGCGTCGTCGAAATGCTTCAAATCTACATCAAAATAACGCTACCGTCTGCTATGAACCATCACCTCCAACGAAAGAGATCGGACCACCTATATGTTGCCGGAAAATAAAGGGATCGGCCCATCTGTTTGTTGCCATTCGAAGGGATCAAACATGTTCGTCACTGGAGGCAACTTGTTCAGATCGAAAACATCCATGGCAGGCGGAGGTAGATCTGGAGAGAAGAGCACGGATCTTCATGTCGACTTTCAGATCTGGAAACCGCCGCCACCACTGTGATTTTCCTTCGTCGGTAGATGAAGGACGACGTAGTCGTCGGTAGTGTCTGTAGAGGCGAAAGTTCAGATCTACGCAGGTGTTCCGAAGATTGACGTTGTCTTCTCTGATGTTCCGGAGGAAGTTCAGATCTACGTCCTCTGGATCGATCTGTCGTCGATAAAGACGTTGCCGCTAATACCTTGATTTCTTGTAGTGTTAATTATTACGGATGTTTCAATTTTCAGTTTTCTTTCCAATTTTCAAATCAAAACCCGACATTGCCATTTTTGGTTCCTATTTTGTTTTATACGAATTTTGTAGGTACCAAAAGACAAAATTTAAAATCACTTTTTTTTTTCTTCCTGCTGCTCTAGTTACTCTAGATTCAAAAGTAAAACATTTTCAAATCGCAAATTCCAATTGTGTGTTGATATGAATGTTTTACGGATCTAGGCATGTTCTCTTCTTCATACTTCCAGATCCATTTGGGTGATTGTCATCCTCATTCCTCCATACAATGAGCTGGAACATGCTTTTAGACAAAATATTAAATAAAACAACTACATCATATCGTATGGTATAATATATATTTATATTTTACTATAAATTATATACTTTTGAAGCATACACTTATACTATATACATGATAGAATACCATTAACGTTATTTAATAATATACGTATACGTAATGCAAAAATTGGTATGTTGATAATAAATTATTAATATTTATAATATATCTATATTAATTAATTAATTAGCTAGTTGGATCAGATTAAAAGTAATTTATTCATATGATGAAAGAAATTAAATTAAATGAATATATTTAATCAACAGAAATATACCAAACAAACGTGCATTACCGCATATATTTACTTAGAAAAAGAAAAGCATTTTCTATGAAATTACGTATTAAAGCGAAAATAGAAAATGTTGCGAAAGAATGAATTGCATGGCGACAATGGAGAAAAGACTTTCAAACTAGGTTGCATGGCGACATTTGTAGTTTCTCTCCTTTTTCATCACCATAACAGTCAACCAATTTCAAAGTACGCTGAATGACCCGTATAAAGAAAAAAAAACTCCATCTCTATTATAATTTTTGTTTGTTGTTTTTTTATTTATATTTGAATGTCAATCTGCGAATTGCATGCTAAACCTAGAATTGTTATTTATTCTTTTATTTTATTATATTTTATCATCAATCTCTTTTCCATTCATGAAATTTATTGCAATTTCATATCTATTAATTTTGCATCAAAAGACAAATATGTTCTCTTGATAATTGAAGGTTTTAATTAGATTGTCAAGAAATGCTACTTAGAAATGAGACTTTTCAACGCAGAAATGAAATGAGAAGGAAATTTCATCCACCATAACGAAAAGCTAGCCTACGTGGAGTCGCAGCCAACCAATCACATACTAAAAGCTTTGACTATGACCGGAAAACAGACCATCTTTTACATGCCCCTTTTGTCTTACGATAGCAACAACCATATATATATATATAGATATATATATATATATATATATATATATATATATATATATATATATATATATATATATATATATATATATATATATATATATTCAAACGAAGATATTATATAAAATGAAATTGTAAACTTTATGTTATTATTTTGGCTATAAATTTTTTATAAACTTCTTTTATATAATTATTAAGCAATAAAATTATAAAAAATCATGCTATAATATTCACATTAGATTAATGTATGAATAATAATAGGTTAATATTCATAATAAAATTTACTACAATACTATATATATTATAAAAAAGTTTATACATTAATCAAGTATGAATATTAACTTATGATTATTCATTTAATGTTGAATAATGATATAAACACAATGTATAAAAAATTTATAGCAAATAATAATATAAAAATAACATTTTTCACCTTATTTTTGTTTTAAATCACTACATGAATTGAAAGTTCATGCCTTGTTATAAGATAAGATAGCCTATTTTTTGAATATTTGTCGACCATAACTTGATCCTAGATGATGTGGGGTTTTTACTTTTTAATGCCTATGATTTTTTAGGTGCGTCTAATAATATGAATATATCTAAATATCTAAATAGAAGAATAAAAAAAGTAGGGAAATAGCTAGAAAACTCCCACCAACTACCACTCTTGTTTACATTAGCAGCCGTTGAATAGGAGCAGGCCAAATCCAACTACTTCTCTTTGCTTTCGTTTCAGGCCTACATCGCCATCGTGAACATCCCAACCGTTGATAGTTCATCAGAAATAACCAACGACCATGATTAATCCTCAACCAACCCACCTCCACTTGCCTTGCATTGTGCTTACCTACTTTTACATCTTTCATTACAATTTGCACACACCAGTTTCCTTCTATATAAACCACAACTCTCATCTACCAATGACTCAACACATTGCTAGCCATTCAATCCTTTCTTCCTCCACCTATATATACATTATACACAGACACTCACACACTCAAGAACACTAACAGACACTACGTATACAAGAACTAGCTAGATCGATCCAAACTACAGTTGAATTAATGGAGAACGGGCATGTAAATGGAGTGGCGACCGAGTTCTGCATTAAAGATCCCTTGAACTGGGGAGTTGCAGCGGAGGCATTGAAGGGGAGCCACCTTGATGAGGTGAAGAGAATGGTGCAGGAGTTCAGGAAGCCTGTTGTGAAGCTCGGAGGAGAGACGTTGACGGTGTCTCAGGTGGCGGGTATTGCTGCTGCCGGTGATAGCTCCACTGTGAAGGTGGAGCTGTCGGAGTCTGCTAGGGCTGGAGTGAAAGCGAGTAGTGATTGGGTGATGGAGAGCATGAACAAAGGGACTGATAGTTATGGAGTCACCACCGGGTTTGGAGCCACCTCTCACCGGAGGACCAAGCAAGGCGGTGCTCTTCAGAAGGAGCTCATTAGGTAAAATCTTAAACTTTTAAACTCATAATATATATTCCGACCAAATTCATTGATAATAACTTTATTTTTTTTTACAGCAGTGTCCAATTTAATTTAAAACGTATATGCTATTCTTAAAATTACTCTATACTTCATTTTAAAACTTAAAATAAATAAAATGTCTCGTTTTCTATATAATAAGAGTTTATAATACAAATTTAATATTTGTATGATGTATAAAATATCAAAGAAAGTGGTATGTTACATAAACATCTTACCGAGTTATTAAGTCTGTTGATTATATTTATGGGTTTAAAACTTAATTATGATATGCTATGGGCATTTTTTATATAAATATCACTGACTTCTATAAACCAAGGTCAAACATCAAAGTTTTTACATTTTACATAGAATTTCTTTAGTTATTATTCAAATATTTGATATGTATAATATATGACAGATAGGCGGTTTGCAAAGCTTTCTCTTTTTAGTATTTTACTAGACTACTTCATAATTACCTTTCCTCAAAAATATCTTACAATGATTAAACTGCAGTGTCTTGAAATCAATGGATTTATGTTAGGAAAAAAGAATATTGGTGAATAAATAAAACAAAAAACAAAAATTGGGGTTAGGTGGGATGTGTGTGATAGCTATAAATATTTTAAAGTTATAAATAAATAGACGCTGGAGCAACCAAAAATACATATATACATTAAAGGCCAGTGTGTCACGATCAAATTTTGGTTGTTAACTTTTCAAGAAAAGAGATATGTTTAACCAATAAATGAAAGTTATTAATTTATACCGTTGAGAATACATTTGTACCTTTGGTTGTAGTAAAAAAAGGAACAGTTACTAAGTTTAGAACTATAATAACTTGTTTAACGGATTTAAGTATATATTTTACTTCACTTTCTACAAAATTATGGATATGTAATTATTCTGCTTAAACTCCTAATTTGGTGTTATATAGTATTTGTTACTAAATTACTTATATTAATTTCATATCTTCAGATTTTTAAACGCCGGAATCTTTGGCAACGGAACGGAATCAAGCCACACCCTTCCGCATTCAGCAACCAGAGCCGCCATGCTCGTAAGAATCAACACCCTCCTCCAGGGTTACTCTGGTATCCGTTTTGAGATATTGGAAGCCATAACTAAGTTCCTCAACACCAACGTCACCCCTTGCTTACCCCTCCGAGGCACAATCACCGCCTCCGGCGACCTTGTCCCATTGTCTTACATCGCCGGACTTCTCACCGGCCGCCCCAACTCCAAAGCTGTCGGCCCCAACGGTGAAATCCTCAACGCCGAAAAAGCCTTCAACCTCGCCGGAGTTACTGGTGGGTTCTTCGAGTTACAACCTAAAGAAGGTCTAGCACTTGTTAATGGCACCGCCGTCGGATCTGGCATGGCTTCCATGGTCCTCTTCGAAGCTAATGTGCTTGCATTGTTATCGGAAGTTTTGTCGGCTATCTTCGCGGAGGTTATGCAAGGGAAACCAGAGTTTACAGATCACTTGACACACAAACTGAAGCATCACCCTGGCCAGATCGAAGCTGCAGCGATAATGGAATACATTTTAGATGGAAGTGATTATGTTAAGGCAGCACAGAAGGTCCATGAAATGGACCCTTTACAGAAACCCAAACAAGATCGATATGCTCTAAGGACTTCACCACAATGGTTGGGGCCACATATCGAGGTCATCCGATCATCTACTAAAATGATCGAGAGAGAGATCAACTCCGTCAACGACAACCCTCTGATCGATGTTTCCCGGAACAAGGCCTTACATGGTGGTAACTTCCAAGGAACTCCTATTGGAGTTTCCATGGACAACACACGTTTAGCCATTGCCTCCATCGGAAAACTCATGTTTGCTCAATTCTCCGAACTCGTAAACGACTTCTACAACAATGGCTTACCTTCAAATCTTTCAGGCGGACGAAACCCTAGCTTAGATTATGGATTCAAAGGTGGAGAAATTGCCATGGCTTCATACTGTTCCGAACTCCAGTTTCTTGCAAATCCGGTGACAAACCATGTCCAAAGTGCTGAACAACACAACCAAGACGTAAACTCTTTGGGGTTGATTTCAGCAAGAAAAACAGCCGAAGCTGTAGAAATCTTGAAGCTCATGTCATCTACATACTTGGTAGCTCTATGCCAATCCATTGATTTGAGACATTTAGAAGAGAACATGAAATCCACAGTGAAGAACACAGTTAGCCAAGTAGCCAAAAAGGTCCTAACCATGGGTGTCAACGGCGAGCTCCACCCCTCAAGATTCTGTGAAAAGGACTTGCTTCGAGTAGTTGATAGGGAGTACGTGTTTGCATACATCGACGACCCTTGCAGCGCCACTTATCCATTGATGCAGAAGCTTCGACAAGTTCTTGTAGACCATGCTTTAAACAATGGCGAAACTGAGAAGAACACTAGCACTTCAATCTTCCAAAAGATCAGTGCTTTTGAAGACGAATTGAAAGCCATTTTGCCCAAAGAAGTCGAGGGTGTAAGAATTGCATATGAGGATGATACATTGACAATCCCAAACAGAATCAAGGCTTGTAGATCATACCCATTATATAGGTTTGTAAGGGAAGAACTCGGAAGTGGGTTCTTAACAGGTGAGAAGGTGACGTCACCAGGGGAGGAATTCGATAAGGTGTTCACGGCAATGTGCAAAGGCCAACTCATTGATCCTTTGTTGGAGTGTGTTCAAGGTTGGGATGGTGTTCCTCTTCCAATCTCTTAGAAGTAAATGAGAGTATTTGTTTGCAATTATTGTGTTTGAAACCTTTTTCTTTTTCGTTTTTTTTATCCTTTTTGAATTCTTTAAATGCTTTCATTGGAATTTCAAGGTTCGAATTTGTACCTTATGTTCTTGTTGATGAGTCATCAATGACTTTTACTATAATGTATATTTATGGTTATGAACTTATTAGAATAAATCACTCATTATGAGAGTTTGTGACGCACCAATTAATACAAGCATACTTATGTGAAAGTAGATCCTTTTTTATCTTATTATTCATTTTAGACAAAATTTCACAGTTGTTTCCTGTGTTTTTCCAAAAGTCAGCATGCATGGTCATAACAACTACTATGCTTGATTGCTTGGTCCCTGTAATTTCAAAAACATTTCCCGCTTAATCCTTTTTGGTCACTTCGTTTATTTTTAACCGTTAGGCCACATCACATGCACTCACGTGTATAATGAAAAATATTCCTTTACGACCAATAATAATTGAGCATGTAAAGAATTTGTTTTTGAAGTCATGGTGTTTGATCATTTTTAGATTATTCTTTAAAGTAAAACTAATTTCACATGCATAACAACTCTTTAATTAAATAATAGTTTGTACGCTTCCACCATTCACACCATAGTTCTATATTATAAAAACAGTTTAAATAGAAAATAATATTGTGTGTGATTTCACCTACTACCCTTTAACTAAAAGTTAGGCCAATAATAATGACCATAAAATATGAGAATTGTCGTTACCAACTGCATGGTCGTGCAAATCACGTCATATATGATATGTTTAATATTTTCCAGTACTAGTAATTGCAGGGTTCGGTATAGTATGATTTAGAATCAAAAGTGCAAACCGTGCTTTATATATAGTTTGAGTTTTTCGGAAATTACATAAACCATCGTGAATTTTTTTAATCATTACGGACACAGCGTTGAGGTTTGATGCGGTGTAGACGTTTTTTGCAGTTTAATAAACACGAGTACTTCAATTTAGCTTGTAGATTTTTTATTCACTACAATAAATATAGCCATTACCGGCGACACCAATAGCGACGACATGGATCTTTGGTGACATATCAATTTGTCGCCGCTATTGGTGTCGCCAGTAAGCAAGTAATGCTTACTGACCCGAATCCGCGTATTCAGGTTCGGTTAACGCCTGCCGTTCGATCGTGTTTCTAATCCAATAGTTGGGGTACTCTTGGAACGCAAAAAACCAATACCGTCGACACAAGTCGCCGCCAAAGCTCGAAAAAAAACGCATCTTTTATTCCCTCGTCGTATGCCGCCGCTATTGCTTCGTGTCGCCGGTAATGTGTCCTCTGTCGCTGCTATTGTGTGTTGCCGCTAAAGGTCGACGCAGATAACACCCCTTGCTTCCTCTTTCTGCCTTCCATTTGCTCTCATTTGGTTCCATTTGCTCGATCATTTGCTCTGACGACTCTACCCTCCTCCGACGATTCTCCTTCAATTAACAACCCATAGTAGAATAGATACCGGTGGCCACCGGAAACCTTACCCTCTTCGGCTACCGGCATAGTTGTTGCTGTCGATTTCCTCCTGCAAGGTAAGTGTTTCCTTCTTCATTTCTTCCTTTCTTTCTATTTTAATGTCGATTTCCATAAGCATTTGTGATTAGTTGCATTTTTTTAAAAGCTTTTTCCTCTCCGACCACCACCACTACCGCCGGCTGTTGTTGTCATCGGCGTCAACTCCCACCACCACTACACCAACTACTGATTTATGGCCACCACGAGTTCTATTTACTGATTTTGGAGATTAATTGCAAAAATATGTGTATTTGGGTGTATATATGGTATATGTGTGTATTTGTTATATGTATATGTGAATTTGGTGTATGTGTGTGAAAATTTGTGTATTTGGTATATATAATATGTTATTATGTATGTATGTGAAAATATGTGTTTTTAGTATAAGTAGGATGTTATTGTGTAGTTGATGTATGTATTTATAATGTATGTGTATTTGATGTATATGTGGTATGTGTATGTGAAAGTATGTGTATTTGATTTTATTATGTATGTATGTGAAAATATGTGTTTTTGGTATAAGTAGGACGCTATTGTTTATTTGATATATGTATTGAGAATGTATGTGTATTTGGTGTATATGTGGCATGTGAAAGTATGTGTATTTGATGTTATTATATATGGATGTATGTGAAATCATGTTTTTTGGTATAAGTAGGATGTTATTGTGTATTTGATATATGTATTTGATATATGTATTGAGAATGTTATTGTATTTGATATATATATATATATATATATATATATATATAAAGTAAGATGCTATTATTGAGAATGTTATTTTTTTTAAATAAAAAAAACAATGTGGATTGTAAAAAAAAAAACAAATAAAGCAGGATGCTATTATTAGCAATGAAAAAATAAAGTAAACCACTACAATAGAAAACAACATAATATAATTGTTTAAAATACAATGTTATAATTGGAAAAAAATGTTATAAATAACAAAAATATAAAAAAAAAAATACAATGCTCAAATAGAAATGTGTATTCCTATGTATTGTGTATTTGTAATAGAAATTGTATTTGTATATCTTATAATTTTGTTGGAAATGGTGTCGATATATCTCTTGTTTTTGTATACCATGACTGTTGTTATGGGCCGTGGACATAGGGGTGATGGAGTTGAGGAGCCACCTTTCCCAGGCGGTAGAGGTGCTGGTCATCATGAGCAAGATGGTAAGTCTTATTATGATTTTGTTACTATTTTTATTCATTTATTATAAAATACAATTTCTAATAATTTTTAATTATATTTGTAGCTGTGCCATACAGGAGAGTCTGAGGAAAAGCGAAAAATATTAAGCTCGAAAGAGCGCGTTTACAGAATAAGGGCAAACCGTTTGACATGGACTATGATAGGGATATGACATATGATCCCGTAGGAGGGCCGAATGACATGTTTGCACACGAAGTTGGGAAAATAATGTGGCGGATGGTCCATTTTGATAAATGGACTTGAAAGTTTCCCATGCGATAAAGGATACAGTAAAACAACATTTAGGGGTAAATTATTTATATAAGAATATTTTATATAGTTAATTATGACTGGTTTTTACTTGGCTAACTTTTTTTTGTAGAAAAAGTTTGATTTAGATGGCATGTCCCGGGATCCAGAGGCTGCTATGCTGTTAGAGAGTTTTGAAGCGCCTTTGTTAAAAGGTTATCTAGACCGTAAATCTGATGCAAAAGAATATTTTTTGAAATTCGGAGGGTATGAGGATATCCTGAGAGCACTAGCCAACCCCCACATGATATGGAGGTTGATAATTGGAGGAAAACAATTGAGTATTTTCAAAGGGTTGAACACATAGCTGCTTCAGAAAGGAACAAAAAAGTCCGTGAAATGCAAACGATCGTGAACCGTGGGGGGTCTAGCTCGTATAGCAGTACTTGCTATAAGAAGGTAACGTATGATATTCGTAATTATTTATTTAAAATATAATCTAATTTTTTATGTTAAACAAAACCTAGAGAGAGTGGAAACGTCTCGCAAGGCTCATATCGACAGGAATGGTGTATTTGTCAATGTCGAGGCAGAACAACAATACGTAAGTATTTAATTATAATTTTATCATATAATTAAGTGTTTATTTATACTTAATTGCTAATCACTTTTGGAAAACACTTAATCGGTTAGTGGAAGACCTCTTAGAACAAACGCAAGGGCCACAAGGTGAAAGAGAGTTAACACACGCTCAAGAAAGAGCTACTTTCGAGAGAGTATTAGGTGAACTACGTGGTCATATCAGAGGCATCAACTGAAAACCTTCTACTATCTCGCCGATTGCACAGCCATCACATCCACCACCACAGTCAACACAACCATCACAGATAAAACAAGATTATTTCATTTTAATAAATGCATGTTGATTTGGTAATTTTGGTTTGTGGTGATTATTTGCTAAAAGCTTTGGTAATTGGTTTTTTGTCCCAAGTGCAGGAAATAGCAATGTACTTTGGTTTTTTGTCCCTAGTTTAAAAATAGCAATGTACTTTGGCATCAATAAATGCATGTTGATTTGGTAATAGTGTTTTTGTCCCAAGTGCAAGAAATAGCAATGTACTTTTGGTATTTCTTGTATTTAAGTGCAAGAAATAGCAATGTACTTTGGTATTTCTTGTATTTAAGGTTCTTTAGCACAAAACGAGTAGATTATTTAGTTTCGAAGTCTCATGTATCTATATAATGATCAATAAATTCATGTTGATTTGGTAATTGTGTTTATGTTTTAAGTACAAGAATTAGCAATGTATTTTGGTTTTTTGTCCCTAGTTTAAAAATAGAAATGTACTTTGGCATCAATAAATGCATGTTGATTTAGTAATTGTGTTTGTAATTGTGTTTATGTTTTAAGTGCAAGAAATAGCAATTTACTTTGGTTTTTTTCCTTAGTTTAAAAATAGCAATGTACTTTGGCATCAATAAATGCATGTTGATTTGGTTTGATAATTTAACTTATAAGTTTATATATGTTGTTATTTATTATGTAGTTGGAAAATCTTCGGACAATGCTCAATGACTTGGCGTGTAGGGATGAGCTTTATGCGTTTTTTCAATCGGTGAAAGATCAAGGAGGAAACGATGGGAATGGAGGTGATGGTTCGTCGGGTAATTAGTTTGTGTTTTGTATGTTAGACTTATCATGACACTTTGGTACTAGTTTGTTGTAATTATAAAACTTTGGTTGTTTATTTTGGTATGAAATTAATTATATATAATGTTGTTACACTATTTGGTACCTAATTCGATATTATGTAATTTTTTTTCTGCATTTAATGTCGTTATGTATCGGGTTTTTTTGCACCAAAATCGTTGATTAAAAAAAATTAAAAATGAAAAATGTTATTACCAGCGACACTATTATCGGCGACATGATGAATTACCAGCGACTGTAGCATTAGCGGCGACATTGATTATTACTGGCGACAACAGAATTAGTGGCGACAAGTGCTATTA